GGAGTTACTGAAGGTGGGGGTCTTGAAGGTAGAGATGACGGAGGGAGGGAAGGAGGGAAAGCAAGGGGGGTGGGAAGTTTGGGTCCGGGAGATGGGCTGGGGAAAGGCTTGAGAGAGATGGTTCCCAATGTAAATACAATCGTAGTTACAGGGACACCTAGTCCCTCTATAACAATGTTAGTGAGGCAGGTTCTTACGGAAGCGGTTTCAGGAACCCCGGGTCCTGTGGGGTCAGGGGGAATAGGCCTGAAACCTACAGCCTTGGCCGCAGTTGGCGCAGTTTTGTTGACTACAGTGCCCGAGAGGCGTGGTCTCAAATTGACCAAGACAAACGACCATGAACCTGGGAGGATAGTCTCATCACCAGAATCTACAAATAGAGGGGCCTTGTCGTCGACACCAGGGACAAGCCTGGTATCAACTACATTGACAGGATTAGCATTTCCGTCAGGAACTGCTTTTGCTGTTAATAAGTACACAGATACAACCACAATAGCCCAAGGATCAGGGCCTACAGATTCACAAGGTCTATCCTTGGGTGGTGTTGTTGGGACGACGGGGGAAGTTGGGATAGGAACCACTGAGACAGAGGCTTATGGGAAAAAGACCACAGCGTCAGGAAAGGAGGGGGCTCGGGGTGTCTGGCCCAGTGCAGCAGGGATGCTTGCCACAGGGTCGTCATTAGGGGATGCATCACGGTCAGAGGAGGAAATGATCCTTTCAGATCCTCCTGCAGATCTTGACCCCCCCCCCCCTCAATGTGTCTACTCAGGCTTCAACTCCTGAAAAGACGGACCAGATAACGGTAGTAAACACAGAAATGGAGAAAGGGACTATAATGCCCGAATTTTTGGGGGAGAAGGGAGCTAGTCTATCGGCATCATCACTAGAGAAAGAGGGGCCTATGTCTCCGCCACCTATGCCACAACAAGTCGGGTCTGAGAAGGGTTCCCAACCAGCTCAGCCCGTTACTTCAAGGAGGAACCACCCTGTGGAGGACGAGGTTATGGGGGGAGGGGGATCAGACTCCACTTCGGAGGTTTCTTACCTGTCTTGTGACTCGGATGGTTCCACGGAGGAGGACAGGCCCTCCAAGGAGAAGAGAGGAAGGACCGTTTCTCCCGGAAAGACAGAGAAAAGAAATCTGAGAGAATTGCTAGGAAATCTAGTGGCACAGGAGGAAGGACGGCTGCCACCAAATACTTAATCCCAGTTATTTGTAGGAAAACCCAGGAGGGGATCTTCTTTCTGTGTTACAGCATGGGGATTAACATAAAGCTACTCACCCCATGCACAGTGGATTCCAGTCCCTCTCAAGCGGTCATGATGGCTAAAGTCAAACACTACCTGGGAATGAATGCCCCGGTCAGGTCTATCACGAGTATTGGGACACGGAAAATCATTAGAAATGGGAAAAATGGCAACAAGGTCCATCTGTTCCTAGCTACTTTCGACGTCCGTCCGAGCGAAAATGATCTTGCTCACTTGACATCTCCGAAAGGAATTTGGTGCCCCCTGGAGTGGATCAAGAACGAATCCTTGCTCCATGCCAACATGGTCTATACCGCTGAAGGGATATCAGGTGATGTTCTCATAGAGTATAACCAACAGCTTGTGGCCGATTTCAACTTGTTTTCTGAAATTTTCGACAGAATGCTGTCGTCGCCTTGGCAGGGGAAAGGGGATCAGGGGGACAAGGGTGATAAGGGGGAAGAGAGGAAAAGGAAAACTAACCTGGGTTCCTCACACAACAGTAAGGAGAGTCTCGCAGCAGCAGCTGTTGCTCCCAATGCCCTGATTTCAGGGGATGGGGAAACCATCTCCAGGTTCCCCCTGGCTGATTTCTCCCTGATCCGAGAAACAGGGCGACAGGATGTCAATGAATAAACTCAGGGTGGCCTCATGGAATGTAAGGGGCCTGGGGGAAGCTAACGACAGAATGAAATGGTCCAGGATCAAGTCGTGGTCCCACCAACATGCAGTCCAGGTCATACTAATCCAAGAGACCAAACTGAATGAAGAGAAAATCAAAAATTGCAGATGGAAGTGGCAGGGCCCTCAGTACTGGGCCCCGGCAGACGGCACTAAAGGAGGCACCGCAATCCTTTTTCACAAAGATCTGAACTTCTCAGTAGTGGACGATTTTTCAGACTCGCTAGGGCGATGGGTTTGGGTTACCATTTCCGTAGACGGGAGTGAATGGAGGTTCATGTCCATCTACTCCCCGACAGACAGGAAGGAAAAAGTGCAGTTTTTTGAAGTCCTCCCGAGAGTGATACCGCCATCTCAGAATTTGGTACTGGGAGGGGACTGGAACACTATTGCAGATCCCGCCCTAGACTCCTCAGCTGCGGACAACCTCCGCAGTGATTCGATCGCCCTAGGGGAACTCATGGAGAGTATGGAGCTCATAGACCCGTTCAGACAGCTAAATCCACTTAAGAGAAGTTACACGTGGGTCTCTCACAACCCCAGACGGGACAAAACGTACACCAAACTGAGGCTTGATTTCTTCCTTCTCAGGGGGAAGCCAGCAGAATGGGCTATGGAAACCTGTATGCCTTTCGACCCGATGTCTGATCACAGGCCAGTCTTAGTCACTTTTGTCCCAGACAGGCACATAGTTAGAGGCAATGGTTATTACAGACTCAATACTTCAGTTCTGGTGGACAAAGGGCTGGTTGCCTCCATCAAGACAATGATGGAAAAATTGGCTGCAGTAAAAGACTTTTACGACTCAGAGTACGAGAGGCTTGAGACCGCCAACAGATTGGCTGCCTCCACTCTTAGCTTTGCGTCAAGAATCAAAGCGGCTGAGGGTCGCAAGGGGGAGAATGAGTGCATAACAGCATTGACCCTGGTTTTGACGAGTACTGGTTTGCACAGAGAAATTTTTGGAAGGACAAATTAGAAAATATACAAATTGAGAAAGAAAAAACTTGGGCCGACAGAGCTAGGATCAAATGGATGGACGTGGGTGATCGGATGACAAAGGACAACTTTAGAAGTTTGTCATCTCGTAAGGGATCATCTCTAATCATTGAGTTGGATCATCCTTTCGATGTTTTTGCACCCAGAGCCAGGGACACCACCTCAATTCTAGAATATGCAAGATTGTATTTTCTAGACATCCTTACATCCTCCAGGCCGATTACCCCGGACTCGGGGGACAGGGAGTTGCAGGAGGAACTGTGGGCTTCCTTTGACACACGACTCCCAGCCCATGGAAAACTTGATCTTGATCGTCCGATTTCGCTCGAGGAACTGACGGTCACCCTGAAAGGCATGAAAAAAGGAAAATGCCCAGGTAGTGACGGACTGCCAGTGGAATACTATCAGTGTTTTTGGGAGATTCTTGGCCCGGAACTTGTCACTATTTTTGATAAAGTCCTGGAGGGTCAGGACCTGGGTCAAGACATGAGAATGGGCATTATATCACTATTGTACAAGAAAGGGGATAGGAGAAACATCCTAAACTGGAGGCCTATCTCGCTGCTGAACACCTCATACAAGATCTTAGCCAAGACCCTGGCAAACAGATTGAAGAGGTACCTCGCTGGCATGGTGGGGGTAGAACAGGCTGGCTTCGTCCGAGGCCGTAACATTATGAATAACATCATGTTGGCGGTCGAGGCCCTTGAAACGATGAGAGATGATCAGCCAGAAGTGATAGCACTTTTGCTTGATTTAGAAAAGGCATATGACAGGGTAAACTGGCAATTTGTCCTGGACACACTGAAGCTGGCGGGGTTTGGGGAATCCTTCTGTGTTTGGGTGAGGGCCTTATACACTAAGGGGGTGGGTAGGGTCATGGTAAATGGGGATATCTCTGAGCCGTTTCAGCTATCGAGATCCTTGAGGCAAGGGTGCCCCCTTGCCCCTATGCTATTTGTGTTGCAAATGGAGGTCCTCATGTCCATGATTAGAAAGCATCCCGGGATTCGGGGGCTTCGTTTGGGAAATGGCAAACAATGCAAAGCCTCCGCCATGGCGGATGATTTGTTCGCTTTGTCCATCAACACCGAGGCTTCGTTAGGGGCCCTTAAAGAGTGTCTAGATAAGTATTCTAAATTCTCAGAAGCTCTTGTAAATTGGTCCAAGTCAGTGGCAGTCTTGAGGCATGGTACAAGGATGCCTGTGGATTGGGGTTTGAAGTGCTTACCTGCCGAGGATTGTGAGCGTTTCTTGGGTGTGCAGGTCGGAATGCTGGACGGTAAGCTCCATGCTAGCGCGTTGGTGGAAAAGATGGTCATCTCCAGGATTGGTAAGGTTGATTCAGTCAAAGGTTCCTCGATCCTGGGAAGGACGCTGTTCCTTAATACATCAGTCTTTTCATCTATCTGGTACCCAGGGTCAATCAAACATTTGGAGAAGAAAGCCTACAACAGAATCAGATCCCTGGCCACAAGATACCTGTGGAAAGGATCCAATGATGAGGAAGTGGGGTATATCGCCAAGGTGGCTTGGAGAAAGATAATAGGTGGGAAGGAGGATGGTGGTTTAGGTGTCTTAGACCCAGAGTCACAGGTAAATGCATTCCTGGCCAGGTGGGTGGTGTCTCTCCTGACGTCAGGGGATGACCACCCCTGGGGGGATCTAGCGTTTCGCATCCTGCAGAAGGACTGGGGACTGTCTAGATCAGAGGATGTGTGCGTGGCGCTGCTCACTCCGTCCTTTGTTAATAGCCCTGTTAATTCCCCCGTTTGGAAAGGCATCCTCGCAGCGTGGAAACGAGTATTACCATCCCAGATAAAAGAGCCAGTCACTAGGGAGGAGATACTCGCGCAACACATTTTTGAGAACAAATACATTTTTAACCATGATGGACTTCCATGGCCTGCAGGAGATGGCCCGGGACAATTCGGCAGGGCCTGGATCCAGAGAGGTATCTCTCGGATCACTGACCTTTGGAACACGGATCTGGGGCATTGGAGATCTCCAGTTGATGTGAGAACTAGACTGCATCATCTGCATGAGGTGCCGAGTAGAGTGACTGAAGTTATCAATAGCATCCCTCAACGGTGGAAGGATGTGCTATGTAATCCGGCCCCAGCATACGAAGATAGCTGGATCAGAGGCAAAAGCTCGGAGGGTGCCGTGAGGATCTGGAAAGTCCAAGGGTGTATCAGCAACAGTGAAATGGTGGTGAGGGCCGGGTCGCTCGAACAGACAAGCCAAGGAGCTCTCGTCTCTACTGACCAGTCAGAGGAGGAAGTCATAGCTTTGGAGCCCTCAATGGCGTCCATCGTCATCCAAACAAAGAAGAAAGGCAAGGAACAACCAAAGTTCCTCTGCCCAATGGGGATCTTACCGGCACATAACCTGAAGGCTCTTCCGCTTGATTGGGGCTGGCAGCTGTTAGAGCCAACTCGGTCGGTCCCTCTTCTAGAATACAAGCCGAATGTGGGGTACCGAGCTCAGGTAAAAACATGGTCGGTCTCCCTTGAGGTCAAGAACAAATGGACAATGGAAGATAAGGAAAGAGGACAACCCCTGGGCAATATTTCCTCAAGAGTACTGAGGAACCTGTGGAGAAGCTTGCGCAAAATTCATTCTGCTAAATTTAGTAGCCTGGCTTGGTTACAATCTCACAGGGCTGTCCCCACGGCTAATTGGCTCAGCAGTAACGGGATGCCAGTAGAAGTTATTTGTTGCAGGTGCAGGAAGTCAGTGGAGACGGCCACCCACCTGTGGTGGGAATGTATCGAGTCAAAACGAATCTGGAAGTGGTGGGCAGGGCTTTGGGCCAAACATGTGGAAGAGCTGGTTCAGTGGGATGAGAGGTTTGTGGTAGAAGGTATCCTGTACAATGCCAAGCAAGTAGGCAGGAGCTGGGTTCATGTGGCCTCTGCTTGTAGGGCAGCAATCATGAACGTCATCTGGACACTCAGAAATGATAGGCTCTTCAGGAACAAATTTCACTCTGATCTAGCCACTATGAACATGGTCCTCTCCAACATTCGCTCCCTGATATGGGTGGATTGGAGGAAGACCAAAAGAGTTCCAAATCAGAAGGCCGCTCGAGGAGCGTTCTATAAGACATGGGGTCTCAAGGTAAGGATGCTCAAGTCATCAGCACAAGGGATCGTTCTGGAGCCCTGGCTGATGGGCCCAAGGCCTCCATGATGTCCCAAAGTTCCCACGAGACCCCTAAGTCTTCAGGAGACGCCAGTCTGGTTCTTTTATGGCACTTACTTTGAGACTCCCGGTGAGGATCCCCAGACTTCTTCTGACGTGATGGCACGACGATTTGGTTGAATCCTTTAGTCTCCCAGACTTTTAGGGGGCCCTTAGGACTGGTTATGTCACGTTCTTTCTGGCGCCGGATAGGTGAAGAGGTCCCTTTGAGTCCTTCAGTGGGAGAGTGGAACAAGCAAAGACTATTTGGTGATAGTAGGGGACGTTGGACCCGTTCTCCAACAGGTGCTGCTCCCCACCAATAGTTTGGAGCCATCGAAAGTCGCAGGCCCCAACTGCACAGGCTCTCATACGGCCTGAGCACGCTGTGTACGCTGGGGTCCCAGAGCAGCTTCTCTATTGGAACTTTCTGAAATATCTTGTGAATGTCTAGATGGGTGCCTGGTACTGCAGGCTGATAGGGCTAGTAGACAACCGGAGCAGCTTCTCTGTTGAATCTCTCTGAAATATCTAGTTACCTAGATGAGTTCCTGGCACTGCAGGCTGATAGGGCTAGTGGGTAACTTAGTTTCTGGCGCCTTTTGGTGAAGAGGCCTGGAAAGCCTGCCGAGTTTCTGTTCAAATTGCAGGACACACGGAGCATGAAGGGACGCTGGACCCGGTTTCCAGCAGGTGCAGCTCCCCACGGAGAATTTCTGGACTTGTAGAAGTTACCTGATGTTGGTTCCATTGGAAGGGACGCTGGACCCGGTTTCCAGCAGGTGCAGCTCCCCACCAATAGAAAGGAGCCATCGAAACCGTGCCGGCTTCTACCCTCTGGGGCTCTTACCACCCAAAGGGTAGAAGACATGGCCCTGAACGATGATTGAAAAAAAAAAAAAAAAAAAAAAAAAAAA